TGACATTGCCTTCAAGGCCCAGAGCGTGGGGAGGGCAGGATGCAGCGCCTTCTACGGCTCGTGGGCGTGGCCAGGGCCTGAGCAGCAGCTGTGGGTGGGGCGTGTTTCCTTAGTAGGGCTTGGGCGTGGCCTGCGACCTAAAACTACTGGAGTAGGAGAGCCTGGGACCCGCTTTCCAGGGTGTGTCCAGGACCTCAGTCTTTCCCCTTCCAAGAAACTAAACATAGGTCCCTTGGCCCTGCAGAAGGATCCAGCAAACGTAGATTATGAGGATCTCTTCCTTTACTCCAGTGCACTGGCAGAGGAGGCCACCAGGCCTGTCCCTGGCCTCGGGGAACATCGGAGACCTTCCTCCTGCTCAGTGGCTGCACCTGAGAAGGTATGTGATGGGGAAAGGACACGTTTGATCTGTGGGAGAGGCAGGAGTAGACAACGACCAATGGCTGCCAGAGAGACTCTCAAAAGAGGATCTGATCTATAACTAGGTGCCTAAAAGCTGTCCAAGGGAAGGCTCTGAGATTACAATCCAAACGCATCCTCAGCCCTGCTCCAGCCTCTTAGCAATCCTTTTGTTGTTTGGATGCACCCGCTACCCTCGGGATCTTTCACATGCTCCTTCTTCCTCTGGGCATTTCCCTATGACCGGCCCACTCTGGGCCTTTCCCTGTACTGGCCCCCACCTCAGGGCCTTGGCACGTGCTCTGTTTTCCTCCCCAAGATTTCCATGTCTTGCTTCTCTTAATTCTCCTTCAAGTGTCTCCATCCCGTCTGTGGACCTCCAGCGGACCCACCCATTACCCTCTTCATTCCTTGCAAAGAACTCCTTGTGGCTTAAAAAGCCCTTGTTTATTTCTGGGTTTCTTTCCTGTGGGCTTCTCCGGGAGGCTGGGGTCCTCCTAGCATGTTCTCCACTGCTTTTCTCACCCCACCCCCAGAGAAGTCCTGGCATATTGAAGGAGCTCAACTGATGAATCTGTAGATGAACGCGTGTGTCCCAGCTTCTTGGGGCAGCGTGGACCTTCAGGTGCCCCTAGGTGGAGGCCTAACCTCCCTCCAGGCCCGTTCTGACAGCTGGTGTGCTGGACATCAGCGGGGGCGCAGGCCGAGGGAGTCAGGGAAGGCTTCCTGGAAGAGGCTGCGTAGAGCTGGGCTGTGGAGGTCAAGGAGGAGCGATCAGGACTGGCACCCAGGCAGAGGGGACAGCACACACAAAGGTCCTGGCGCTCAGTGTGTCAAAAACCAATAAAAAGTGCGGTTTGTGGATGGGTGTGCAGGTAGTGAGAGGGGAGTTGTCAGAAGGGGAGCACGGGGTGACACAGGGGCCTCTGTTCCAGATGTGTGGGGAAGCCCCGGGAGAGCGCCAG